GAAAAAAAGAAAAAAGCAGCAAAAAGTATCATCAGATCAAATAGTAAGGGAGAAGAAAAATGTCAGGAGCATCAATGGTAGGAGATTCAAGCTCCTGGTCCACAGCTCTCGTCAAGATTTCACCTTACACTTTCTCCGCTGTCGGCATCGCCATCGCCATCGGCGTCTCCGTCCTCGGCGCCGCCTGGTACCCTTCTCTTCTAACTTTTTTTCTAATTTTTTGGCTATAAATCTGGCGAACAAGTTCTATAAAATACGAATTAAATGAGTTTTTTTTTATTATTCATAGGGGAATTTACATAACTGGGAGTAGTTTGATCGGTGCCGCTATCAAAGCTCCTCGAATCACTTCCAAGAATCTTATTAGGTAAATTTTTGTTTCCGTTTTTTGTTTTTAAAGTATGTTGCTTTTATTGCGTGATTTAATCTGGGAAATGACCTAATACTTATTATTTGGGCTTTTTAGCCCGCTTTTGTACCAAAAAAATCAATACTTATTATTCTTAAACCTAATCTCTTAACTAACTGTTGCTAAAGTTTATAAGCAATCTATACTTAATTATAGTTTATTCTGCTAGATTTCTTGAATTGAATTGGATTTTGTTACTGGCCTTTGAAACTCAGATAAGCATAACTAGGAACATCTGGGACGCCTACATTTTCTTTTCTTTTTGTAGAACTTTGAAGAATATATCCAAGCCCTGGATCTTGATTGTGTTTATGCTTGGACTTCAATAACTTCGATTGAGCTCAAAGGTGAAAGGAAGGCACGCATTTGCTTAAAATGGAGCATTAGTAACAAGAGTAGCTATAATTTGAGTTTTTTTTTGTGTGTGTATAGATAATTTTTATTCTTTCCTAGATATTGCCATTACAAATTTATAAATGGCCCGCATGCAATTGAAGTGTGAGACAAGTAGTAGGTTAATTAACTTAATTTGTGTAATATATGCTGAGTTAGTTGTAAATTAGAGTGGATGGCTAATGGAGCACAATTACGAGTTATAAAAGTGGATTGAAGATACTAGACCTGTCCAAACCTTTCAACTGGAATTGTTAAAATTGATATTACCTTAAATTTTGTTTCGGTAAGAGTTAAACTTTCTGCAGCATTTCTGCTTATTTATTTGAATGCTGTAATGCCTATTGAAATAGTAATTTTTTACTCAATGCTGTTGTTATTGCAGTGTAATCTTCTGTGAAGCTGTTGCTATATATGGTGTTATTGTGGCAATTATTTTACAAACAAAGTTAGAGAGCGTTCCAACGGCACAGATATATGCACCAGAGTCTCTTAGAGCAGGATATGCAATCTTTGCTTCTGGAATTATTGTTGGCTTTGCAAACCTTGTTTGCGGGTTCATTTCTCAATCCTTTTCTCTTTAATCTTTTAATAAAGTTATTCAAATGAACATTTTGCTTATTGCTATGTGCTTATGATTTGTTTTGGTGACAGATTGTGCGTTGGAATTATTGGAAGTAGCTGTGCACTGTCTGATGCACAAAACTCCACGCTTTTTGTGAAGATTCTTGTGATTGAGATTTTTGGCAGTGCACTTGGACTGTTTGGAGTGATTGTAGGTATAATTATGTCAGCTCAAGCAACTTGGCCTGCAAAATCTGTGTAATTTCATATTCTTAGTAAAAAAAGGGAAAATAGCAATTTGGTGATGTGAGAATGCAACCAGTTTTATGTACCAGAAATGAAACCTACATTTTTTTTTTATTTGTTGTTGGTAGGCATGTATGTAGAAACTTGCTTGGAAATGTTTCCTCTTTTTTGTTCTCATAATGAATTTGTTGAATGAGAAATCAAAGTTTTATGAAAACTATGATTTATGGTTAAGTGGATGAGCGAAGTCGTGCTACTGAAATTTATTTACTTTTTTATTTATTATGTATTTTAAAACTTGCTTGGAAATGTTTCCTCTTTGTTCTTATAATGCATCTGTTGAATGAAATAAAAAACTTTTACCAAAACCAGAGCTGAATTATGGTTAATAGCATGAGTTAGTTGTGCTAACGAAGTTTATTCTTTTGTTACTCATTTGTATGCTGCTAATTTCTGTTACTGCTGGTTGCGTTTTTAAGCAACCAATAGAAAAGAAATTAGACATTATCACATACGCCCGTGCAAGGAGACTAAGATGAACTACGAGTAGGCTTTAAGTACAGAATTTATTAAATCAAGCCCTTGGTTCAAACAAAGCTGCTGCTGGGAAGAAGGTAAAATCTTCATCTTTGGTTTTGTTGCTTCACTGAAATTTTTGCTTTCCTTTTGTTTCTGGGTTCCAAGGTGGACAATTAGCCAGTCACATGCTTTAAATTATTTTGCTTGTGTGAATGGTCAGTATCCCGCCAACACCATCTCTTTTGGGTTTGGCTTTTCAACTTGTGAAACAGAAACCCTGGGTTTTCTCTCTTAAGGCTATTAACTACATGATTACATGAATGTTTTTGTTTAAAGAAAAGTCTTTGATAATAATGGGTTTTTTATGGTTTTATTTTGTGTTAATTTTGGGTTGGTGATTTTTAGGCGTCATATACTGATTACCATCGCTCTTTATTTTAACTATGAGCGTTTGTGTATGAACTGACGCAACAGCCTTTGTTACCCTTTCTGCACTTCTTCCAATTTGGAAGCCTTCGGCTTCTTCACCGCAGATAAGGGGAAAGTTCCTTCTCGGTTTTCAATGTGGGACACTGCGAGTATTTGAAAAAAAAAAATTGGCCGGGTGGTGGCTAATGTTGGTCACTCGAGGCCTCATTTTGTATAGAATTGGTGAGCCAACTGTCAGACTGTGACTTAGGCTTTTATACAGAATTTATAGTCTTTCACAATGGCCAAGCTTGTCTATGTAGGCCAGATTAGGTGACTGAATGTGTTGAACCGAATCAACACATAGACGTGTTACCAGTTCTGTGATTAGTCCTTGCATCGAAGCGCTTTGTAAGGGCAAACGTTCAGTCGTGTTAAAAGTTAAAATACGTAAGATGTGTCGACCGTTTTGCTTTTATTTTAGGTTTTTTCTTTTCTTTCAGTTTTTAACAATAAGGAACAACAAAATTTGAGCCGCGGAAGTTTCTTTTGGTTGCTACCCTCGGTTTGATAAGAAATATCAATAATTTATCTAAAACTCTATTAATAGATAGAATAGTTGAACTTTATAAATATTCAGCTAAATTTGATAATTTTAAATATTATTTGTTAAATATATGAATTCAAGATAAATGATAAAATTCTTATATGAATTCATCTTAAATTCGAATATATTAAGTACCTCTGTAATGGGATATATAATATACCTGTTGACATTCTTTATTTTGATTCATTCAATGATAATTTTTTATTATTTTTTTATTGTTGGTTTGAAGGTGCGCAACTAGTTATTCACATTTACTTTACTTCGTTCATTCAATGATAATTTTTCGTTATTTTTTTATTATTAGTTTTAAGGTGCGCAATTAGGCAGAGTCACATTTGCTTTACTTGTTTGTGACAGCGAGTCTTAGATAGGTGCCGTGGCCAAAATTTGAGGATTAAACAACAGTATAGATTTTTATTTTTTGGATAAACTTTGACTTGTTATTTATTCAAAGCCATTGCAATGTTCGGACATGTTATTAGAACGGCATAAAGTTAAAGTGGCGTTTGGTACATTACAATACAATGTGATTACAGGTAATGTGATTACAAGCAATGTGATTACAGGAAAATAACATTACAGTGTTTGGTATGTAAGTAAAATAATGATTAAAATGCAGAGAAGATAACATTGCAGTGTTTGGTTTACAAGTACTTTAATGAGAATGTAACTAATTGTCAAAATTACCCCTAATTATTAAAATATAAGTTTAATATATTTATAATTTTTATTATTAATTTTTATATAATATCATTTCTTAAATATATTTTTAATATCATATATTTTATTTTTATTTATTATTATAATATTTTATATTTTTATTTTTAATATATTTATATTTATATTATTAATTTTTATATAATATCATTTCTTAAATATATTTTTAATATCATATTATTTTATTTTATTTATTATTATAATATTTTATATTTTATTTTATATATTTATATTTATATATTAATTTTTATATAATATCATATTTTAATATATTTTTAATGTCATATATTTTATTTTTATTTATTATTATAATTTTATATATTTTATTTTCATTTCTTTATTATTTTTTATATTATATATTTTATTTTAATTTGTTTTATCTATATTATATAAATATTAATTTTTTATATTTTATTTATTTTAATTTTTATTCTTATATATATATTTATTTTAATTATAATATTATAAAATATTTTTAATAAGATAATAAAGTTGAAGGGTAAAATTGTCTTTAAGAACATTGCAGAGTGCATGTAATGTGATTGCATTAGTTTTAGACTGCAATCACATTACATCCATTGGCTGCAATGTGATTGCATTGCAATCTTATATTGCAGTGATCTGTTTACAAAAACAAACACTGCAATGTAATTTAATAAGCCACATTGCAGGGAATGTGACTTACATCCCTATACCAAACGCCACCTAATAGTGCAGAAACTCAAGCATTAGATGAGTTACCTGGGGATGTTACAACAAACTTAGTATTAGCAATACAGATGTACTCGATTTCCTTTGTGGAGGCTTGCTCCGTCTACTCTCCGAGAAATCCTAATGCTTTCAAAAAGAAAAATCAAGCCCTTGGCTATAGAAAATGTTCCCTTTCTTTCTGTGTAATAGATGGCCATGGTGGACAAAGTAACAAGCATATGAGAATGACTAAAAAGGGTAGCCACACTCTTATGCTTGAAAATTGTATAGATAACCAACTCTTGTAAAAGTATCATTGAAAAGAGATGCCAAAGGCTCTGTTTGCTATGAGGAATGTGACTCATATTCCTGAGATTGTAAATAGGAAAATATTACCATGTTTGGTATGACTTAAACCCAGTGGTAATGTGATTCCCTTAGATATCATTTTCTGTAATGACTAATCATGTTTTTATATAGTCAATCCTCAGAGAAAGAGAGTCCAGACAATCAAATATATTGGCGAGAGAGACTTAAGTAACCAGTATCAAAATGCCCAAGCATTGCCTGGTTACGGAGGACATACTCCCATCTTTTAAGAGATCAAACAGAGCGTAACATGGAATCAATTAATGAAGGAACTACAGAAGAAAGGCATGTTCTTCTGTTGAAGATCTGTGCAATCCTCTGGAGTTGCTTTCTTTGGATCAAATGGCTCACGATTAGGAAGATCTAAGCCTTGTTTAATTCGACCCAGCTGCCGTGAGTGCAGAACTTGTTTAGAAGTGACAGGTAGCCGAATGGACTGATACTCTTCCAGAGCTGACTGTAAATTTTCCAATCCCCATTTGCCAAGGGTTTTGCCTAGAGCTGCTGCATCTAATATTGACATGTTTGTGCTTCTCAGGCCGTGAGGACTTGTTGGGTGAGCAGCATCCCCAATCAACACTACATTGTCCCAAAAGATCTGTCTTAGAGGGTCACAATCATATATGGCATTTAAGAAAGGATTCTTGGTCTCCTTCATGACTCTTACAAACTCTGGGACCCAAACTTTCTCTGCTTCTTGGATCATATCATTGATCATGTCTTCATTTACCTTCATGGTAACTGAATTTCCCTGCACATAGAGTAACAAAAGATATACAGGTGTTGTTAGTTTTGATTGCTGCAGAGTCTACAGAATTTAAAAGGCATCTGTCTATATCTGTCAAATCACTGTCCAACTTTAGATGTCCCCAAACCATCATAGATATGTAAGAAGCAGAATATATGAGATTAGGGCGAGCAAGCACCTTTATATCAGGCTCAGGTTGATTGGTATAAAAAATCCAGTTGAGCCTTTTGCTTGGAAGTTCATAAAGCGCACTATGAGTTCCAGAGCTAAGGTCAAAGTACAAGCATTTCCCAAGGTCGGGGTACACTTTACGGATGCCTGTAATGGTTTCTGAATCCTCTTTTCCTGAAAAATCAAGAACCCCTCTCCACGCAGAGTAACCTGAATACCTGCAAAGAGTTTGGCCAAGTTATACAATTCACTCATAAGGGATAGTTACACTCGAACATTTGACTCATTGATTAATGTATGATCCCTTTTAATGAATGTAGCTGAAATCACCCTTTTCCTAATTAAAAAAATTAAAAAAAAAACTCATAAGGGATAGTTGACTCGAAAAAATTTAGTTTGAAATAACTAGCACACGCAACTAGCAGAACTCTTGCTAGTTGTATTAAGAACTCAGAATCCAATAAGACCTTCGATAAGATAAGACTTATCCCACTATGCAGCCTGCCTGCCAACTAGGAGCAAAATAAGCCACACATACCTCAATTTAATGTCCGGGAGAAAACTCTGGCGGATTAAAGAGAGGCATCCATCTGCTGCAACGAGTAAATTTCCATCTATCTCAATGATCTCATTGTTTCGAAGAACTTTAGCCTTAACTTTGACAGAGGCTTTGTCTTCGGAAATGGTGAAAGAGATGAATTGGTGACCCCAGAAGAATATATCTCGTGGCAATGCATTGTGTAGAAGGCCATGGAGATCAGCCCAATGTGCTGCTCTAAAATTAAATTTCTCATCTCTTGTTAATGTCCAACTCACATTCGTAGCAGCATCTGTTGCTTGGTTCTGTAAGAACACATTTCCAGAAATATAGCGGGATATTAACTAAACATTTGATCATTTTTTGTCTGAATGAAATGTAACTAGTAGAATTTTTTTTTTATAAGCAAAATATGTCTAGAGTTTGATAATGAATACTAATATAAAGTTCTGTTAAGGACTATAAGATTTGACATTAACCTGATCAATTGTGAGGGGCAAGGTGGCCTGCTGGAGGAGCTGGGGATGGCCAAGCCAGGAACCAATGAGCTGTTGAGCCGAAGGGTCGAGCCCCAGTCCAGCCCCGGTTGGGCTCCCAGTTGGGGCTGCGCTAGTTTTCTCAAGCACCACAACTTCCCATCCTGCTGAAGTGAGCGCATGAGCGCATGAAACCCCGGCTATACTCCCTCCTACAATGATTGCCTTGGCCTTATTCTTCTTCTTCTTCTCAGTCATCTCTCTCTCTCCCTCGAAGGAATTCTGGTGAAGGAGTTTGGAAAGAAAGGAAATTTATAGATGACAAAATGGGATCTCTGGTAAGAGGCAGAAATGACAAGAAGTTGTGCTCTCCACTTCTGGAGCCTTGCAAGGTGGTGAGATGGGTCCATTTAATTAATCATGGTCCTTATTTTTTTGTTTTTTCTTTTCTTTTCTTTTCTTTTGATCCTCTTTTTTTGAATAAATGTCTTTGAACATGTGAGTTTTAGGGTCCTGTTAAACTGAGCTGCCCACCTGCCCCAAAGCCCAAACTGTTGAAAACTTGTTCATTTGAAATTTTAATTTTAACTTGAGAAACACTCACTTATATTTGGAGAATTTCTATTATATGTTGGAATGTGATTTTCATTTGTTGATCACCGTTAATAATTACAAAATCATGTATTTTGAATTTTAGATGGTCCAAATAATGTATGTATCGATCTGAACAAATTAAACAAAAGTTTTGATTTTGACTTACTTTATATTAAAATTTGAAAATTCTTTTTATAATATAGATGACGTTCAAGACTTTTTTAAATGAAAAGGGAAAAATTCATGAAAAACAAATTATAATTAGAGTATTAGATGGTCTTGGAAAAAAGATTTCATTTAGGGACATCCCAAAAAAAAAAAGACAAAGAAAAAGAGAGGAGAGAGTAATTTTGATGAGTTTGATGAAATATGCACAATATTCGACTTTAATGACAAATTCAATTCCAATTTGTTAAATTGATAAATTATCACAAAAATGTTCATATTGATTAAAAGAAAAAGGTTAATTGATATTGTTCTTCCTCCGGGCTTGGGCAAGGCCCAGTTATCAGTTGCGATCCTTCAGAGCCGATTTCTCAAGTCCGAACCTGAGAAATTTCCTGGAAACCAAAACGAAACCCAAAGTGACCCAAATAGGCAAATAAAGTAGGAGAAACAGGTTGTGGGAAAAACCCCAAACTTCCCCTCTAAAAGGGCAATCCCTCTCCCATCGCTGTCTTGCTACGAAGGCCTCCCTCCATCCCTCCCCTGTACATACAAGAAATCCAACCCTGTCCGTACAAGTCCCTCCCCACCATTGGTTTTTTGTTTTGTTTTTCCTCTCTGCAAATCTTCTATTTTCTTCGACCAAAATACAAAGAATAAATAAATTAAAAACAAAGAAATGGGGGCTGGGCGAGAAGTTGCAATATCACTAGATGGAGTGAGGGACAAGAACGTGATGCAGCTGAAGAAGCTCAACACTGCTCTCTTCCCTGTTCGTTACAACGACAAGTACTACGCTGATGCTCTCGCCTCTGGCGAATTCACCAAGCTTGGTCGGCTCCTTTTTTTCCTTTTTCCCCCTCATTCTTTTGCCTAGCATTTTCTGGGTTTTCCTTATTTCGCTTAAAGCCAATGTTCGTTTAGCCCATGTTGTTTGGTTTTGTCTTTCCAATGGATTTGTTGAATAATGGGTTTTTCTTTTGCTGTTTATTAGTATATACCATCTATTGGGAAATTTATTGTAGCTATCTTTTTCCCCACATATGTGGTTGTTATCTTATTATGGGATTTTGGTGATTGTTTTGTTGGTTTTGGCTTCTGCTTTTTGATTTTGTGGTTTTGGTTCTTTGCATTGGAAAAATGCTGGTTTTTGTGGGCCACTTTGATTTGTATTGACATGTGAAGATACACACCATGGAAAAGTAGTTTAATAAGGTTTAAATAAAAAGAAAGCTTAAAATTTAGATGATGTAATGAAGTTGAAACTTCCTTTTCATATATTCTTTTCTTAAAGACCCAAATTGCTAGCTTAGATGTTTAAGTTACGAGTGATGAAACTGGCAGAGTCTTGCTAGCAAGATTGTATTAATTATCAGTTTAGTGTCCTCCCACGTGATCATTGTTCAAAGTAATTTATTGTTAGATTAAAAAGTTTCAGGTTGGATAACCCAACATAGATTGAACTGCTCGTTCTAATTATTGTGTTACACAGCTTTTGAGAACTAAAACTTTTCTCTCCCCCAATCTTGAACTTTTAAGGCTTATTGAACTTAAGAAATGGGTGTCAACATTCTTACCATTCATCCTTTTTAACACGTGCCATTGACCCTAGAATACATTGTTTCTTCTCTTGTTGCCCTTGTGGTGCCATAGACACAAATATGTCACTAATCTTAATTGGTATGCTCGTCTCTTCTATTGGTCTTGCACATATTATGAAATGTTATTGCATCCATTTTTATCCTGCTTTTTTTTTTTTAATTTCTTGGTAGTCGCTATCTTTTTACTTTTTTGGGTAACTTCTAAAAGTCATAAAAGCTTAGACTAAAGATTTCCTGATTCTGAATAGGAGGTACTTGCTTCTTCAGCTTGATGGTCTATATCTGTTTACAGAAACTGTAAATACTTCAAAACCTGTTAATCTTGGAGAAGAATTATCTTATCATTTTCTTCTGTATACAGGATTGAAGTTTGAGTAGTTCTATTCTTGTCTAACTTTATGTTATTATGAAATGCATAGAACATGTAATGACGTCTTTGTCACAGTGCCTACGACGATGGATATTATGTTTTATTGTTTATTTCTTTATGGTGCCTTGATGGTTAGAAAGATACAATTTGTGATTTTCTATTAGTATTTCATGGCTTTTGGAGACAAATTTGATGACCTTTAATGTCCATAAATTATCATGTTATCCTAACAATCACTTCTTTGTTTGCTAATTCAGCATATTACAGTGACATCTGTGTCGGATCAATTGCTTGCCGGCTGGAAAAAAAGGAAGGTGGGGCTATCCGTGTGTACATTATGACATTAGGTGTTTTAGCACCATATCGTGGGCTAGGCATTGGTGAGTAGACAAGCAAATTTTTCTACTAGTGTAGGTCTTGCAAGGGAATTAATGGAAAAACCTTAAGCCATGCTAATTGATTTTCAAATTGGTTATTTTTATCGATACAAGGGATGGTCAACTATCATAAAAGATTCATCAACATGATGGTTGAGAAATTTGTTCATACATAATTAAAAGGACTATGCTGGCTCCTTTAGATGGGGGAGAAGGGGGATAGGGGGGCTTTACAACAGAGCTGAATGCTTTGTTGGTGACAAGAATTAGTTAATATAAGTAACCACCCCCAACATCTTTCATGGAAATTATGTTTCCCTTGGTTCTGAATAAAAAACCATAGTTTGTTAGAAACGCTTGAATCTTCAGTTTTCTGACTTTGCTCTTTTGTTGGATGGTTTTCTTAAAATCTGGGATTTACATAGGTACGAAGCTATTGAACCATGTTCTTGATCTCTGTTCAAAGCAGAACATACCAGAGATTTACTTGCATGTTCAGACAAACAATGAAGATGCCATCAACTTCTATAAGAAATTTGGATTTGAAATCACAGAGACAATCAAGAACTATTACACAAACATTGAGCCCCCCGACTGTTTTGTTGTTACCAAGTTCATCACTCCATCTCAAGTGAAGAAATAACAGGTCAAAGCTAGTTCTGTTCTCAGGAGTTATTGGTTATTGTTGTCTTATTGGATTTTATTAATTTATATACTTGGGGAATATTTGATGATAAGGATGCTGTAGAGCATTAGTGACATGAGTTATGGCATTAATGAGATGAGTTATGATCGGTTTATCTTTGTGTCCTACTTTATACTTATGAGTTGGAATATTGTTATTGTCTTGTTCAACACTCTTTTTGCTTGTACAACTGAGCATCTGTAGTCTGCTCCCAACAAGTTGTAATCAATCCATTTTTCCTTGTATCAGTCTGAATGTGATCACCATTGATAAAACATAATATCCTTGGTTGTAGGCACTGTGACAAAACATCATTACATGTTCCTTGTTACCATCTTTCACTATTTGAAATTGTAAACACTGGTAAATGGTTGATATGATGAAAATATATGTTTTTTCTACATCAATTTAGTGTCCTTATATTGAAAGATCTATGACTATGCCTTAAGCAAGAATGGTTTTGGCTTGTATTCTTCAAGTAATGTACATGCAGCAATATTATGTGAAATAATATTTCTTCACATGGGAGTTATAGATTGGCTAGTGACCGAAGATTAGATTTACTGGTGACCTTGTCACTGTCCTATATTTGGAAGGTAAGACCTCCCATTTCCAGGAGAGGTTGACCTTGCATGGTTATTGGCTTGATGGCCTCCCATTTATACAGGTTGTAATAAAGGAATATAGGGCCGAGGAAGGGAACCGTGGCCCAAATTCAAACATGCCATCTAACGGTAGACACCATGCAATTTCTCATGGAACAGTCAACCTTTACCAATGACCAAGCTTCTACTCAATGCCCTATCTCATGTGCCAATGGAGAATCTGAATCCAAGTAAATTTACTTGCAGACTTTATAGCTTAGATTTGCACTCCACGCTAACACAGATATTCCAAATTGCTATGATAGGCTGTCTAGTATTTATGGGGTGTCCAAATAAATCCATAGTTAATAAAACTTAGTAGGCTACAAAAAGATTATAAAAAGAAAGCAAAAAAAAAATGATAATATTACATTTAATTCGTATATTTTTATAAAAAAAGTTTAATACGGTACTTGAATTTAAAAGATTTTTAATATAATACTTTATTTTGTATATCAATTTAATGATTTGTATCAAAATGTATCATATGATCAAATAAATGTCAGATTATTCTTTGATCACAACACATGATTGACCAGCGACATAATTTCAGTGTTAAAAAATTTTAAGTTTCTCTTTTTATAAAAAATTTGAAATTTTGAAAAATAAACTTATTTTAATTTTTTTAAAAGTAAAAATTTTTGGAAAATAATTTCTTTTCTTTCTCTCACTTTTCCTTTTCTTCTCTCTAGAGCTTCCATTTTTCAATGGAATCCAGCCATTAGCCAATAAGATCTAGCCGATGACAAGGCCAAAATGCTCGATGATTGGCCGAAAATTAGCCATTGAGAGGAGAGAAAAGGAAGGAGAAGAAAGTGAAGTTAAGAAAGAAATAAACAATGAAGAATTTTTCAGATTTTTTTGTTTTTCATTTTCAGAAAACAAAAAATTATTTTTCAAACAATTTGTTTTTTTATTTTATTTTTCTTTTTAAACCTTTCACATGAGTAATTGAAACACAAGATACTGCATTGAATATATTTTTAATACAAGAATCAGAGTAGATAGTTTCCTCCAGTATAAAGATTAACTATATTATCCTTAGAATGAAAAAATAAAACTAGGAGACATTTGGAATAGATGAAAAACATGAACAAAGGAGCCAACAATTACTGCAGCTCCCTAACCTCTATACTTCACATATACAGGATCAAATTTACAATGTTTGACAAGGCTGGACCTGATACACGTGGTGATGATTTATTGCACTATCTACATATTGGACACAAATAATTCAGAGTAGCTGCTCTAATTGTTATCAGTAAGCCAAACCACCAGCAAATGCATCTCCATCATGAAGTAAACTCTCTGTCAACCAATAACCATCCCATGAACCACCAATCCTCTGCCAAAAACAAGCTACTAATTGATATAGGAACAAACCAAAGTGTTTAGTTCCAATTTCTAATAACAAGCAAGATTCCCCAGTTTATTCTCAGTAAATGATTAGCAAATTCCATATTTATGTAAAAACTCAGTAAGTTTCTCAACTTAATTGACTATGCAGCATGATCATAGTTTGGAGATAAACCACCCCAACCCATATTTTCCCCCTGTTTCTTCTCACATGTTTGACAACAAGCACAAAACATTAACTTGATAAACCATTAAAAGTTTTCTAACTGTTTCCGTATGTGACTTGACTTTCTGCATATGAACATGAATACACAAACTTTGATTCAATGATGATTGAAACTCCTAAAAGCACTAAATTTGCTACAACTACTGACAGACAAAGCAAAAGGGTTTTTACCTATAAAATATGATAAACATTAAAAGATCCAATTGAATAAGAAAGTTCAAAACATTTCTTACTAATGAAGCCCTAAAACCAAAGATAGGGACATGATATAAGCAAATGCTATCATCATTTCATAGGAAGAATTGCAGATGACTAGTAAAAAAGGTCAACAAACAAACCTGCACCATTGTAAATTCAAATATTTCTTCCTCCTCTGGGCGACTTCCAAGTATCCAAACCCGTTGTTTGAATCGGTTCTGCTCAACAGTTTGAAAACACAACAACATGTGGTTAGAAAAACATGGATAACAAAGATGGCAAAGGTCTAAAGATAAATCACAAACAAACTGCTTCAATACCTCCTTCACAAACAAACTGCTCAAGATCTTTCTCTCCTTGTGACCAAGCAATACTCGATAAGTTGAATGATGAAAAATTCGCCTAAAGCGTTCAAACTGTATTTCAAAGGAAGAAAGCATCAGCATCTATAGCACCACAAATCATAAAATTTTGAAAAACCATTAACTGACCTGTCCTAGATCAAAGAAGGGTCCAAAATATTTAGACCTTTCAAAAGGATCAAATCCAGCAAACTGTCAATTGAACATAAAAAATTAAAAACAGCCCTTTAAGAGCCGCAAATTTCGAAGGGAAAAGTGCAGAATCGTGTGGTATCAGGAATTACCCTGTACATAACCTCGATCCCGTAATCCTGTCGAGGTTGGTCATTATACTTCAATGCATCAAGTTGGTGTTTGACAGCTTCTTCTGCACTAAACTATAACAAGAGTTTTAACTCACTTACTGGTTTCAAAGTTACTTTTACTACATTTGCTTTCCGCTTCCGGAAGCAAAATGTGAATGATGCTTTTGCATACAAAAGCAAGTACTAGAGTTCTTGAAGAAGAATCAAATTTAATTACAGTAAGTTGATTCCCATAACCAAATACATAATATTAATAGTCATCTTAGAAATCGGCTTTACGGGAACTTTTAGAAATAAAAAGTAAATAACAAAAGCCATAATCAATCCAACCTTTGTTTGCATATATAACTACATAATTGCGAAGCTTAAAACTTACAGTTAGCCTTGGGCCAAAAGGCCTTTTCCTTCGAGAGTCAAGCCTGAAATATTTTTTTTTAAAAAAAGCATGAATTATAGTTATATATTTACCGTGAATGTATAATTATTGAGAAATTGAAGATTATAGTAATTAATGGCCAAAAGAAAATTATAGTTATTGGAAATATACCAATCAGCGGAAAGGAAATCAGGGACGTCAGCAGAAGAAGAAGCTCTGATGAAGCCATGGGCGAAGATTTTGGATCTTTTGGGGAAGGGAGACATGGATTTTGGAGTCGACAGCAAGCAACATAACGACATCGTTTTTGCTTATCCTCCTGTCTCGGAAATTCACGTCGTCTTCTCTTGCTTTTGCTGTCTTTCCCTCTTTTCTAGTTCCCCCTCGGTCGTTGGGAGTGTCAATTTGCGGGAAATGAAGATGAGGCGGAAGTTGGATTGGATTAATCTTGACCGTTTATTGTCGGCGAAGGAAAATCCGACGGTAGGGGACCCGTGTGTTCGTTACTAAATAAAAAGATATTCTTCTTCTTATTATTTTTTTAATAAACACCAACTAAGACTTTTATTTGAGGATAGTCACAATTTAAATGTTTATATTTTTATCGTAATAATCAAGTATTAAACGTAGGGCTGCTTAAAATCATTCCTAATCCAAAATAAGTTTGATTCTTTTGGTTCGATTAGAACCATTTTTGAGATTTTTGATTTTGTAATTCGATTATTTTAATAAATTTGATTCATTTTTTTATAATTAAAGTTTTGAACCAAACAAATTGAATATCGAATTTGAATTATTAAAAATTTAATTTATTACTATATACTAATATATTTTAAAATTTTTACATTATATAATAAATTTAAAATATTATTGAATTTACTTGAGTATGTTCAAATTTATATTTATATATTATTTTAAAATTTAGTAAAGTGTTATAAAAGGTTTGCTTGAGTTTGATATTTTGAAACCGATAAAATTGATTGTAAGTCAAATTTCAGTCGATTCAATTAAGTATAATAATTTCATTTGATTCAATTTTTGCATAAAATGAATTTAATTTTTTTTAAAATTGTAATATCAAATCAGACAGCTTTACACCCTTAATTGAACTTTAACAAGAATATAAGATTTTGGTTTAATTCCAAACATTGAAAGCCATGGTCCATCTAAGTTTCACTTGTTCCGATTAAGTTAAGTATGAGGTATTAAATATTAATTTAAAATATTTGTTAAATTTTTTAGATCTTAATTCGAAAGGAAAAATATTTTAAAATTTACAAATCTAAAGAATAATATCATGTGAAAGGGGAGATTTTTCTTTATGAATATATATTTTGATATCCTAGGGATTGCAAATTAGTCAAAAGCTGACGGCTTCCCACCAAATGAGGCAAAATTTGCCTTAGAAATCAAGTTTTCAACTTTCTTTATTGATTTTATAAATAAGAAGAAGAGGATTTGATTGTTTTTTCATTTTAACACAATCAATCAAAAAAATGGGTAGAATTTCCTATTTTTATTTAAAAAATAAACATTAAAGACTCAGATCTTTTTACAAACTCCTCCTTATCTTTACATGTTCTTACTTGTGAATTTAATTAATGATTGAAAAATGAAATGGAGGGTTGAACCAATGATGTTATTGATTCTTTTTTTTTTTTTTATAATTGGGGTTTTTTTTTATATAATTGGAGAGGGAGTATTTGAATCCTACTTTTTAGGTAGGGGATAATGTATCAATAATTAGTCAAATGCCGAGATGCTATTAATTCTTAATTTAATTACTTTAATTTGATTAAAAGATATAAAATGATATTTGATTAAATGGTTAGTGCTTTAATTAGTAGTTAAGAGTATAAGAATTTAAATCTTATTGCTAATAAAATATGTTAAAAACAAAAAATCCAAATTCAAACAAAAAATTTTAACCAGTTCAAAAATCGGATCAAAATGATTTAATAGAAATGTTAATCAAGTTTGATTAATTGCTTTTTATTGGATTGAATAGGTTACCAATTTTCGATTCAATCGGTTTGATCTAACTTAAATATACAAGAACTAAGAAAAGAAAAAAAGTATGAGGTAGATTCAAATTATGTTTTTCTTAATTATTTAATAAAATCCTTTGATAAAATATATGTTACATTCTTCTTTATACTTTATATACTTTCGCTAATTATTGTAAAAAAGAAAAAGTATACTCCTTTCTGTCACATGTTGATATTGGTTTTATTTATTTCTTATCAAAATTTCAATTTTGATCCTATTTTATTTTTAACTGGTTGCTTGTTAATTTTTTAAAATAATTTTAAATATGTATTTATTAAAGTTTAAATTAATAACATATTTAAAATAATTTGAATTAAAATTTTAAAAATGGATTAAAAATCAAATCATAACATTATATAAGATGAGGGGGTACTACTATTACTATTTTAACTTGACTAAATGTTTCAATTGAAATTAAATATTTGGACACTTCTTTATTTAAGGATTAAATATTTCGACTATAGTAATGAAGAGTTAAATGTTTTTGGTTTATATTAAGATAAGAGGTGTTTAGCGTGTAGTCTATACATGCATGATGTGAACATTAAATTTTTAAAATGGTATATAAATTTTTAATATGACATATAATAATTAAATTTTAAAATATAATATATATTATTATATTTTTTAAAATTATTATATCATCAACTCATGTGATTTTTATAGACACATGCTTTATCTACTTATTAATTTAATTATTAATTGTAAAAAATAAAAAAGTACTTACTTTTTAATTTTTACAATTAAAATATTTAATCTTTAATTAAAAAACCAAAACATTTAATCTCAATTTAAACATTTAACCTTTTAACTTTAATATAACTATAAGTATACAGTACGTATTTATTTAAACAGATTAAAGGGGCTGGCAATCTGACATGGTTCAGCGCTCACTGCGTAATACTCAACGGCGTCTGAACAATGACAATGACCCTACCCAGAGTTTGCTCTTTTTTTATTATTAATTCTGGCGGTGAGAACAATATTTTATATGTATATATATATAAATATTTTGTCATTTTCAATGTCAGACTCATTTGAAATCTCCCAACGTAACTGTGACACATGTAATTCTACTTATCAAAGCTTTTTCTTTTTTTCTTTTAAATATTAATGAGACAGGCGGCACCTGTCTGTCTCTCCTTTTCTCTTCTTTCCACTCTGTCTCTCACTCACTCTCCTTTGTTGAAAACCTTTACCTTTCTTCCCGAAAGCACAAACCCCAAATTTTCTTTCACATTTTCCATATCTTTCTCACCCATTTCCCCTCCATCTTCACCCCGTGGAACAGGTTATGAGAGTGAAACATGAGTGATGTCATGTCTTTCAGCTGGAGAGCACCGTTTTCTGCAACAGAGATTGATACTGACTGACAGTTTCATGTAGGTTCGTGCTGTGCTCCAAATTTCACTTAGACAAGATTTTCCTTTAGTGTAGAAACTAGAATCAGTCCATAAGAATGAATGTAATGAGTATCGTTATATGGAATAATGATTTGATTAGTGTCAATTAGTTTTTTGTCTTTGTTATTGCTTGATTTGCTGGCTGCTCTGTTCTTTGTCTAGTTGTCTATGAGGCTTTACTCTTTCGGTTTTTAGTTGGATGCTCTGTTTTGGGACGTACTGATCTATTAGTCATCAAATCTTAGTTTTGTGTACATCTTTTCTTTTATTGAGACAATAATTAGTAGTACTAAATGGCTACTTGTGTATGTTATTGAATCTGTTGGTTTAAAAGAATATTGAAGTTTATGTTAATGTTTGACAATCTCATTAACCGAGTTTAGATTTACGTCTACCTTTTTTGCCTTTACATATGGGTCATGACAAGTTTGTGTCTTGTCTCAAACAGGTTGGAAGTGGGGGCCTGAACTTTAGAGACCCAATTTTTTAGTCAGATCAAATTCAAATTGAGCAAAAATCTGTTCTGCAATTTACTTACATGGTCAAAACACAGTTCCTTAAGCAATAAATTGAATAACTGCAATTCATTTGGTTTAACTTTAACTGCAATTGTTGCTTTGTGCCTAGAAGTGGTTTACTCTACTCCAGAATACCTTAGGAACCTTGCTTTTCTTATTATCAAGTCTTCCTATATGGAAAATTCTTTCTTATAAGAATCTAGCTTTTCTTATTATTAAGTCTTCCTACCTATATGGCTATATATTTGTCAAAATCTTGAATTTTAACCAATGTCTCATCCCTTATATGCTGCATAAACCACCTACACCTCCCCTCTCGTACAATCATCTTTCACTAGGTAGTTTAAAACTCAACCAAAATCAAAGAGGAAAAGTTGTTCCATTACCTTCAATAGCCATGATTGCCATCTTCCTCCTCCTCACCATATTCCTCCACCTCTTCACCACCACGACTGCCCTTGGAGTTAACTATGGCATGGCTGCAGACAACCTTCCTTCTCCCTCTGTGGTTGCTAACTTCATCAAAACCCAAACTATCTTTGATAGTGTCAAAATGTTTGATGCGAATCCCGAGGTCCTTAGAGCTTTTGCAAACACTGGCATTTCGGTTACAGTCACAGTCGGCAATGGAGATATTCCTGCTCTTACCAATACTGTTGCAGCAAGGAGATGGGTTGCTCAATACATAAGCCCATTTTATCCTCAGACAAAGATCAAATATATCTGTGCTGGTAGTGAAGTCTTATTCTCAAATATTACTGGTTGGATTAACAACCTTGTGCCTGCAATGAGGAGTCTTCATTATGCTTTGGTTAAAGCTGGAATTCAAGATATCAAGGTTAGATGAATGCGTAATTTATATGTTTATCTTGTTCCTGCTCTTTCTCTTCCTATTATTATTGTTTTCCCCTTTAATTGTAAAAACTAATTTCAAGTTGTAATGATTTTAGAACATTTAATAACCATATGTTGTTTTTTGTAACTTTTGACATTGCTAAGAAAATATTGCATGATTCATGCTTCATGCTAAAACAATAAATTTTCGAAAAATCAGTAATTTTAAAAAGATTGGTTTAAGATGAAAACAATGAATATTCTTTACTTCTATTTTCTTCTATTCTTTATTGATATGATAGAGAATGAAAATTCTTTGCTTGCTTTGAGCCAATTTTATGTTGCTCAAACTTGAGGAAACAAAAATGTTTCTTGTAAGTCATGTGTTCAAACAGATGTCACAAATCTCATCCTAAAATTCCCATTACAAACATCTTTGCTGTATCTTTTTAAATTTAATTTGTATTATTCATACTGATATCTTATCTCTCATGTTAGAAATTTATAGGAATAGCTAGTTTTACATGAATGAAACTCCAAAGACATCAACAATTTTTCATTGTCATCATACAACTATTTTAACCTTTTTATTTCTTTTTGAGTAGGTCACAACCTCTCATGCACTGAACATATTCCGACGTGAAACTCTACCAAGTTTGACCCGTTTCATGGTTGGCTATGACCTAAGCTTCTTTGCACCCATACTCCAATTCCATCGCCGGACCAAATCACCTTTCATGGTCAACCCATATCCCTACTTTAGCCCTGACTTATTGAGAAGATTAAATTATGCTCTTTTCAAACCAAACCGTGGAGTCTATGACAAGTACACTGGAAAAACATACACCAATATGTTTGATGCTCTCATGGACTCAACTTATTCGGCTATGAAAGCCCTTGGCTATGGTGATGTCGAAATCGTGATTGGTGAGACTGGCTGGCCCGCACAAGGTGATTCCAGCAGTCCTTTTGCCACCATGGACAATGCAATTTCTTACAATGGGCATGTGATTAAGGAAATTCTTTCTGGCAAAGGAACGCCTCTAATGCCAAACCGCAGCCTTGAGACATACATGTTTGCATTGTTTAATGAGAATCAAAAACCAGGTCCACTTGCTGAGAAGTACTGGGGATTGTTTAAACCTGACTTAAGCCCTATTTACAATGTTGGACTTCTACGTCATGGGCAGGTATGTTTATTTCTGAATGAAGATCTCTTTCTGTCCTTATTATAGTTTACACAATAGAGGCAAACATTGTTCTTATTGCTTCCTTCCTTCTGCCTCCCCCTATCTAAAATCTGGAAAGACGACATGATTCAATGTTATTGATACAACTATCAAGAGAGTTTTTGTTAATTTAGTCTCAACTGACAGTTAAATATGCCGTCAAATCACTTTCTCATAGTCACAATAGATTGATTTTAATTTCTAATAAGCTTGTAGAAAATGTTAAGTTAAAAGGTTGTATTGATTTTATTTCATTTTGAAATATTAGTCGGTGCCAACTCCTACAAATCCATCCCCATCAACTCCAGCACCTTCAGGCAAGAGTTACTGTGTTCCAAAAAAGGATGCTACCTATGCTCAATTGCAATCAAACCTGGACTACGCATGTGGCAAAGGCATAGATTGTACACCAATTCAGCCTGGTGGATTGTGTTACGAACCCAACACTATCCAGTCGCATGCTGCATTCGCAATGAATTCTTACTATCGAACCAAGGGTCAGAGTTATTTAAGCTGTGATTTTGCTGGCACTGGTCAAATCAACTCTGTTGATCCAAGTAAGTGAAATATGTTATCCAAGACTTACAATCATCGATAAATATTGAGAAACTTGCAAACAAAGTATAATTTAGCATTATGATGATAACTAAATTCATTGTCCATTACATTAAATTGATACGATATTTGCTAAAAACAATAACCATACAGAATTTTAATATTCTGCATTCTGTGTTTATGTTCAGGTTATATGAACTGCCATTACCTCTAAAATATTGGAAGAGAAGGATCAAGGATGAGCTTGACATATGCCCTTAAAAGTGTTAATCAGCAGAATGTTGCTAAAGTTCATTTGATTAGTCCAACTCTTCCTTCTTTGATGATTGTACTGCCATTGCTGTATCAAATGTGAACAATTTGTCAATGAAATGCTCTACGACTTCATTCTTTTACTAGGGTTGTGATTTTTCTTTCATAGATTATGAATTTATAAACGATAATTTAGATAGAAACCTTACTCCCCCCTCCAACCTTTTCAAACAAAGCTAAATTCAGCAACTCATTTTTTCCACGTAACTTCTCTTTCTTTTATACCTGAAAAAGAAAAAAAAAGGAAACTTAATTGTTCTCCCAAATGAAGAACTAATATTTTAATATAATAACATTTTAAACAGTAAGAATATTAAACTTAATTGGTATAATATTTATTTTTTATTATTTAAAAAAATTTAAATAAATTTATTTATTTAATTAATTAAATATTTTTATTTTTATTTTGAATCAAATATAATTATACATTAACTGTCGTTAATCAAAATATTATTAATTATTTTATATTTGTATAGTGTTAACAAAATATTAACATAAAAAATAAAAAAAAATCACATAATTATATTATCATGTCAAATAAACATATCACATTATAATCCATAACATGTTCGTATTTTACGTTAACTTATATAATATAAAAATGATAAATCAAAAATAAAAATATGAGAGTTTAATTGAATATAACAAAAAAATAAAATTTATTTGAATTGCATAGAATAATTTAAAAAATTTTATATATACTATGTCGATTTAATTTTATTTTATAAAATCTGATTCCATCCATTTAGAATAGGTATCATTAACAATTAATTAGTATCTTTGGAAAAAAAACACTTAATTAGTTTTGTATAGGCATTACTGTCAATTTTAAAATATTAAAAATCTCTTCAAAATTTTCCAATTTATAGGCGTATATTATTTCAAACTCAAAATTTTAAAATTTCTATGAATAATTTTGTGAGTATCCATTTATTTATATCTAGATTTGATGTAAATTAGGTTGGACTAGAATTTAATTTATCTAATTTCTAAGTGTTATCTTCATTTTATAAATTCTATCGAGGTAAAAGTTATTTGGTTATAAATAGACGCCATTACTTCATTTGTAAATACATATTTTAATAAGATCTCTTCTCTCCCTTTAAATACTTTCTTTTCTTTAATTGTTCTTTCAAGTTAACCTTATTTATTCTTTCAAATTATATTTTCACAACACGTTATCAGCATGATCTTTTGATCTCTTAAGTTTGTAATTTGTTTTCATCATTTTTAAGTTTCAACAAAATTTCAATAATTGGGTTTCAATTTTTGGTTTTAGCAAATTAGTAAATGTTAGTATTATCTTGTTTTCATCCTCTCACAAAGGTTGATTTTTTTTTTGTTTCTGATTTTAGAAAATCAAATAAGTGATTTAATATCTTTTTAGTGTTTTCATTCCTTAAAAATCAATCTTAATATAAATTTTATTATTAAATAGAATATATTATATTCTATCCCTTGCTATTAGTAAAAAATCATAATATCCATTCCTAGAAGTGAATGTGGCAAACCAACTATTAATAAAAAATTATAAATTTGTGCATTCTCTTAAGTGCATGCAATATTATTTAATAATTATGATCATAGACATGGAAGAGATCATTATAATAATTTACACTATCACGATGCTAATTAAAGATAATTTTACCATCAGAAATGGATGAATAATTTTACTATCAGAAGTGGATGTATAATTTTATCCCTAGAAATGAATGGATACTTTAATCTACTAACCCACGAGAAGTGGATAACCCATTAAAAGTAGATAAATAATTACATCTCACAAAAAGTGGATGAATACTTTACACTTACCAGAAGTGGATGAAAAATGAAAAGATAAAAATGCAAAAAATAAAAGGAATATAGAAAATGTATTTGTCACTCGTCACGTACCTATTGTACATTTTGAATTATATTAAATATCACAGAAAACTAAAACATCTTGTGATCATTTTAACTATGATCAAGTTAATATAGCATATCAAGTGTTTGTCCACCCTAAAAGAGGTATTGATTATATGATTGGTAATGGAAATATTCATAATTGATTTTTTTATCTTGAAAAAGGAATTGATAATTTGATTAGTGAAAATTAAAACATCTTGTAATGATTTTCATCATGATCAAGTTGATATAACACATCAAGATGTTTGTCTACCTAAAAGAGAAATTGATTATATGATTTATAATGAAAATATCCATTCTTGATTTTCTTGTTCTGAAAAAGAATTAATCGTTTGATTTAGAATGAAAATATTAGAGAATGAACTTAAAGGTAATTGGTATATTTTAATATAACTATATTATGAAGATGCTTTTATATGTTCTTATTATATTTAAATGATATGTTCTTGTTATGTGTTTTAATTATGTATTTAATGTTATTTCATGTTAACTTGTAAATTTGTTATTGCACATATTTTATTTTATTGAAGAAAATATAGATATTCATCTTGTTGGATCCAAG